GGCGCATGCGCGGAGTCGGGAAAGCCGCATTGCGCACGCGCGGACAGGCTGGTTGGCGGAAGTGACTGCACGAACCCGAGCGGTGGCTGGCAAACTGGCCTCTCTATGTGTAACGCAGCGGCAGCCATCTACTCTTCCGCCGCCGGAGGGCAGCAGAGTACGCTGAGAGCGCTTCATGTGTGGGATAGTATGCGAGGACTGGGAGACCACGTGACCAGAGCCGGTTCCATAGAGCTTCTATGAGCCCAAATATTGGATTTTTTTCCCAAATTCTTTTCTTTGTCAGAAATTGAATCCTCATTCACACCGCAGAGGGGTCGTAACCTTATCCAAGGTGGACATTTCAACAATTGTATTCAATATCTATAAATCTGCTTTTATCTATTAAAGAAATCCCCGGTGATCCTGCCGCGACGGTCCCTGTTTACGCACTTCCTGTTTGTGGTGAAAATGCTCTGTCCCTGTGTCCTAATTGTGCCCCTGCGTTGTCACCCTGTCACAAAGACTTCCAACTGACACTCACATTTCAGCGCACATTACACAGACGTGAAATGTGATCCACTGTTGTCACCATGAGAAATGCCATGCAGCCATCGCGGGAGAGCATGTGGCTGCAAAGAGGCCGCAGGTGATCGGCAGCACTGAGATGGAACAAAGGATTTTTTAAAATGGCGATTATGACGCACAGCATTTCAGCAAACCAAGGATCATATTCATAAGGCAGTGAATCTGATATTTAGCAAACACTCCAGTGAATGTTTGGTGAGAGCGACATTCACTGCTTTATAAATAGACTCCCCCGTGTCACCCATCACGGATCTATTGGTAAGAAATCTGCAGCGTCTATTCCAAATGTACATTATTTCTGTGAGAATGAACCCGCTGTTGGGGGAATGGGGCAAAATCGAATGTTTTCAGTGTCATTCCTCTTCTGCTCGAATGTTCTTCACATATTACGGGCAGGTTCATTCATAGAGCGAATTAGGAAATACCACAATATGGCCACCAGAGGGCGCTGAGGATCACAGGACATAATTAGTGTAATACCACATGATGGCCACCAGAGGGCGCTGAGGATCACAGGACATAATTAGTGTAATACCACAATATGGCCACCAGAGGGCGCTGAGGATCACAGGACATAATTAGTGTAATACCACAATATGGTCAGCAGGTGGCGCTGAGGATCACAGGATATAATTAGTGTAATACCACAGTATGGTCAGTGGGTGGCGCTGAGGATCACAGGACATAATTAGTGTGATACCACAGTATGGTCAGCAGGTGGCGCTGAGGATCACAGGACATAATTAGTGTGATACCACAGTATGGTCAGCAGGTGGCGCTGAGGATCACAGGACATAATTAGTGTAATACCACAATATGGTCAGCAGGTGGCGCTGAGGATCACAGGACATAATTAGTGTAATACCACAATATGGCCACCAGAGGGCGCTGAGGATCACAGGACATAATTAGTGTAATAACACATGATGGCCACCAAGTGGCGCTGAGGATCACAGGATATAATTAGTGTGATACCACAGTATGGTCAGCAGGTGGCGCTGAGGATCACAGGACATAATTAGTGTGATACCACAGTATGGTCAGCAGGTGGCGCTGAGGATCACAGGACATAATTAGTGTAATACCACAATATGGCCACCAGAGGGCGCTGAGGATCACAGGACATAATTAGTGTAATAACACATGATGGCCACCAAGTGGCGCTGAGGATCACAGGATATAATTAGTGTGATACCACAGTATGGTCAGCAGGTGGCGCTGAGGATCACAGGACATAATTAGTGTAATACCACAATATGGCCACTAGAGGGCGCTGAGGATCACAGGACATAATTAGTATAATATCACAATATGGCCACCAGGTGGCGCTGAGGATCACAGGACATAATTAGTGTAATACCACATGATGGCCACCAAGTGGCGCTGAGGATCACAGGACATAATTACAGCTGAGGAAGAAGAGATACAATGTAACATTTCCGGGGGTCTCTGGAAGGGATGAGGATACAATGTATCCATCGCTGTCCATTATCCGATCTTGGTATTGATTCTTCTGCAGCCTGCGGCTTTCTCACACAAGAGTTCCAGGCAGATGAAGAGTCGCTCGATCACTTGTATGGTGCTGGAAGGGTGCCACATGAACCCGGAAGTGACGTGTCTGCTCCCTTCTCTCGTTACTGAACCCATAAGTGACGTGTCTGCTCCCCTCTCTGGTTACTGAACCCGGAAGTGATGTGTCTGCTCCTCTCTCTGGTTACTGAGCCCGGAAGTGACGTGTCTGCTCCCCTCTCTGGTTACTGAACCCGGAAGTGACGTGTCTGCTCCCCTCTCTCGTTACTGAACCCGTAAGTGACGTATCTGCTCTCCCCTCTGGTTACTGAACCCGTAAGTGACGTGTCTGCTCTCCCCTCTGGTTACTGAATCCGGAAGTGATGTGTCTGCTCTCCCCTCTGGTTACTGAACCTGGAAGTGACGTGTCTGATCTCCCCTCTGGTTACTGAACCCGGAAGTGATGTGTCTGATCCCCTCTCTGGTTACTGAGCCTAGAAGTGACATCACTGATCCCCTCTCTGGTTACTGAACCCGGAAGTGACGTGCCTGATCTCCTCTCTGGTTACTGAACCCGGAAGTGACGTGTCTGATCCACTCTCTGGTTACTGAACCCGGAAGTGACGTGTCTGATCTCCTCTCTGGTTACTGAACCTGGAAGTGACGTGCCTGATCTCCTCTCTGGTTACTGAATCCGGCAGTGACGTGTCTGATCCCCTCTCTGGTTACTGAACCCGGAAGTGACGTGCCTGATCTCCTCTCTGGTTACTGAACCCGGAAGTGTCGTGTCTGATCCCCTCTCTGGTTACTGAACCCGGGAGTGACGTGTCTGATCCCCTCTCTGGTTACTGAACTCAGAAGTGATGTGTCTGATCCCCTCTCTGGTTACTGAACCCGGAAGTGACGTGTCAGATCTCCTCTCTGGTTACTGAACCTGGAAGTGATGTGTCTGATCTTCTCTCTGGTTACTGAACCCGGAAGTGACGTGCCTGATCTCCTGTCTGGTTACTGAATCCGGCAGTGACGTGTCTGATCCCCTCTCTGGTTACTGAATCCGGAAGTGACGTGCCTGATCTCCTCTCTGGTTACTGAACCCGGAAGTGACGTGTCAGATCTCCTCTCTGGTTACTGAACCTGGAAGTGATGTGTCTGATCCCCTCTCTGGTTACTGAATCCGGAAGTGACGTGCCTGATCTCCTGTCTGGTTACTGAATCCGGAAGTGACGTGCCTGATCTCCTGTCTGGTTACTGAATCCGGAAGTGACGTGCCTGATCTCCTCTCTGGTTACTGAACCCGAAAGTGACGTGTCAGATCTCCTCTCTGGTTACTGAACCTGGAAGTGATGTGTCTGATCCCCTCTCTGGTTACTTAACCTGGAAGTGATGTGTCTGATCCCCTCTCTGGTTACTGAACCCGGAAGTGATGTGTCTGATCCCCTCTCTGGTTACTGAACCCGGAAGTGATGTGTCTGATCCCCTCTCTGGTTACTGAACCCGGAAGTGATGTGTCTGATCTCCCCTCTGGTTACTAAACCCGGAAGTGACGTGTCTGATCTCTCCTCTGGTGTCTGAGCCCGGAAGTGACGTGTATTTTATCATTTCCAGCATCAGTCTGCATCAGTGTCTCATCATCTTTAGTGGGGTCCTTAGACCCCCCAATGTCTCCATAAAGAGAACCTGTCACCTCCATTATACCATCACATAGGGGGTTTGTTCCATTGTTAGCCTCCTATGTGATAAGTGTCAAAAAATGTTTTTTCAAAATTAGAATAAAATAAATAAAAAATATTAGGAATATAGGGAGGGGATGATAGGAGGTGTAGTCCCCCCGTTTCTCTATATGGATGAGGTATACAGGCAGGGGATGATGCTTAGAGTTGTGTTCCCCCATCTCATTATATGGGTGAGGTATGCAAGAGGGGGGAAGCTAGGGATCGTAGTTCCCCATGGCTCTCTTTATGGGTGTGGTTCCACAAGTGAAGAAATGCTGCGAGTTGTAGTCTCTGATTCTGTACTCCCTACAGAAGGGGGATATGCTGACAGCTGTAATCTCTGTGCTGAAGGGGATATATGCTGGGAGTTGTAGTCCTCTATGGTGTGTATATATAGGTGTTATACAAGAAGCAGTGACGTGGCAGACCACCAGACCCTTCCTTTTCCCCCCTTTACACGCTCTCTTCCCCTTCTTCCCGCTGATTGGCCACCTGCCAGCTCCGACTTTTACTTCATTGGCCGCCGTTGACAGAAGCCGTTCCGCGATTGGCCGGAGTTTGGCGAGGCTCCCATTGGTTCAGTGGCCCCCTCGCTCTCCGCCTGTGTGTGTGGCTGAGGCGGGGCGGCGGGGCGCCCGGGGGCGGGGCATGGAACCCCGGTCTATCCTGGAGCTGGAGGCCGGAGCAGAGTGCAGCAGAGACGGACACGGGAGGATGACGGGAGTCGGTGTGTCGCGACTTTTCTGCGTACTGCTTCTGGCGGTGTGTGCTGACTGCGACCGTGCCCGGGACTCTGTGAAACCAGGTGAGGGGGCCCCAATATATTATAGGGGGGCTGCGTACCCCACTGTGACCCCGGAGTCTACTGTAATATGGAGAAGGGGGGCTGTGTACCCCCACTGTGACCCCTGAAGTCCACTGTAATATGGGGAAGGGGGGCTGCGTACCCCCATTGTGACCCCGGAGTACACTGTAATATGGGGAAGGGGGGCTGCGTAACCCCTGGAGTCCACTGTAATATGGAGAAGGGGGGCTGCGTAACCCCTGGAGTCCACTGTAATATGGGGAAGGGGGGCTGCGTAACCCCACTGTGACCCCGGAGTCCACTGTAATATGGGGAAGGGGGGCTGTGTACCCCCACTGTGACCCCGGAGTCCACTGTAATATGAGGAAGGGGGGCTGCGTACCCCCACTGTGACCCCGGAGTCCACTGTAATATGAGGAAGGGGGGCTGCGTACCCCCACTGTGACCCCGGAGTCCACTGTAATATGGGGAAGGGGGGCTGCGTACCCCCACTGTGACCCCTGAAGTCCACTGTAATATGGGGAAGGGGGGCTGTGTACCCCCACTGTGACCCCGGAGTCCACTGTAATATGGGGAAGGGGGGCTGCGTACCCCCACTGTGACCCCGGAGTCCACTGTAATATGGGGAACGGGGGCTGCGTACCCCCACTGTGACCCACTGAGTCCACTGTAATATGGGGAAGGGGGGCTGCGTACCCCCACTGTGACCCCGGAGTCCACTGTAATATGGAGAAGGGGGCTGTGTGACCCCTGAAGTCCACTGTAATATGGGGAAGGGGGGCTGCGTAACCCCACTGTGACCCCTGAAGTCCACTGTAATATGGGGAAGGGGGGCTGTGTAACCCCACTGTGACCCCTGAAGTCCACTGTAATATGGCGGAGGGTGCAGTGTACCCCCACTGTTACCCTGGGGCCCTTTGTGGGAAGAGGGCCCAGTATAATAAGGGGGCCTGTATAATGGGATGGTTGTGTGACCCAGGGGACCTAGTATAATGGGGGTGGGGGTGGGGCATACTGACATCTATACCTTGATACCTAATATTGGAGGGGCCATTCTGTAAACCTGGAGTAGGTGGTCAGGTCATCACCCCACCTCACCCCTCCCATCATTGGGTGACATCTCAGATATAGAGATATGGGGGGCCCATCACCCCACCTCACCCCTCCCATCATTGGGTGACATCTCCGATATAGAGATATAAGACAACCGTCACATGACCCCCCATTCCCTCCATCATTGGTGACATCTCAGGTGTCCACCTTTCTGGCCAGCTTGGTACACCCCTCTGGTCTCCTCTCTGTCTACATATCCCTCATATCTAGCGCTTGGGCTGACTTAGGCCATTAGCTAATCGCGGCATTTGAATTGTCAGCTCTTGGGTCGGGTCAGATGGTATTGTAGATCTTGCTGTCTGTGCTGAACGCCTCCTGCACATTTCCCGACCTCGATAGACCTCCAGAAGCCGACACGTTTTCAGCCTTCACCTGTCCCCATTGCAGGGCTTGGACTCCCGCCTCCCATGGAGGAACGGGAAAGTGTGGGGGGAGGGGAATTCTTTATGAATGGGCAAAGTGACCGGTTCTCTTTAATACCTGCGGAGGACTGTACGGGTTCAGATGGGGCCGAATGAGAGGACAGACGAGGTCTGGCTCGTTGCGCACGGGTAGACTAATTGGGCGTGTTTGGTTATGAAGGTGACTCAGCCGTTCTCTGATGAAACGTTCCCTCCGGGCAGAGGTTTTGGTTCTCTGTACACAAAGACGGGGAGATGAGCTGCCGTGCTTGTTCACCTGGGGAAAATGCTGCTCCCGGCTCCCTCCAGTGCCGCCCATTAGACCAGAAGCCTTGATGACAAGATGCTGCTATCAGGTGACATTCAGGTGTAAGTGGACATCGCCCTGCGCCGCCGCGTGAGATCAGAGGAGATGTAAACGTTCAGTCATTCTGTCAGTGCTCCCCCTGAATCTGTGTTTGTAGTTGGGGGTTCAGTGGCCCCTCTGAAGCGGGGTTCCCATTCTCTAACAGTCCTCCTTGTTTCGTCGCTCTGTTAGATTGCAAGCTCTTGGGAAAATCACGCGTACTCCATGCTGCTTCCAGAAACGTCTGCCATTCCGGGAGCTCAGACAGAGACGTGTCCGGGCGGATTGCGTCTACATGCCTCGGAGGCCCCGACTGAAAAAATCAAGGGTTCCTCGCCTCCAATGAAGCTTCTGGAATTTATTTTGCAGTTTGTAACAATCTCCAAATTTCTTCTGCACGATGGGGGGAATTTATCAAAATCTGGAGCAGTTGCCCGGGGCAACCAATCGGATTCTCTCTTCAGTTTGCTCAGGAAAAGGTGCCCACACATCGTACGATAATCGCAAGGTGTGTGGAAGGCGTGCGACCGTTTCTACTGAACGGTCGCACGACTTTTGTCTTTGGAGCATGTTCGAAAACCAGCCGAAAATCGTACGATGTTCGGCGGGTGTGTAGCATGTTCGTAAGATAAATGCCGCACGGGCCGGTGTGTGCAAGCGCACACTGCCCGTTCAGCATTTCGGTCATCGGAAGCCCGCCCCTCAGCGAGGCGGGCTTGCGATTATCGCAAGTACGATCTGCCTGTCCAAGATAGGCAGATCGTACGTTTTTTTTAATGACCTTACAACCATCGCAAGACAAAAGTCCTGCGATGGTTGTAAGGTGTGTCCCCAGCTTTAGATTTGAGCATGAGAAGCTGATTGGTTGCCAGGCACAGCTGCTCCCAGATTTTGATCAATTCCCTTCAATGTATATGATTACACCTGAGGTGCGCGTGATCAGCGTTCCCAGATTCTGATGATGTTCTTGTGTCTCGGAGGGTGTGGACGGATCCCGGCCTCCAGGTCATGAATGTTTGGAGCGCGTCCCAACAGCATCTGCCTGTCCATCAGTGCTGCCCCGGGGCCACACTCCTTTGTAACAACATTGCTCCGTTCACACAAGAGTACAACCCATTCTCTGGACTGTCTTCATTTCTATACATTGTATCCTCCTCACATCATCTATATACATTGTATCCTCCTCACATCATTTCTATACATTGTATCCTCTACACATCATTTCTATACATTGTATCCTCCTCACATCATCTATATACATTGTATCCTCCTCACATCATTTATATACATTGTATCCTCCTCACATCATTCATATACATTGTATCCTCCTCACATCATTTCTATACATTGTATCCTCCTCACATCATTCATATTCATTGTATCCTCCTCACATCATTTCTATACATTGTATCCTCCTTGCATCATTTCTATACATTGGAGGGAATCTATCAGAACTGGAGCAGAATAATCTGGAGCAGTTGCCCATGGTTAACCAATCAGCTTCTCTCTTCCGTTTGTTCAGTTAAGGTTTGAAAATGAAAGCCAGAAGCTGATTAGTTGCCGTGCACAGCTGCTCCAGGTCTTGTCTGCTCCAGTTTTGACAGATTCCCCTCATTGTATCCTCATCACATCATTTATATACATTGTATCCTCCTTGCATCATTTCTATACATTGTATCCTCCTTGCATCATTTCTATACATTGTATCCTCCTTGCATCATTTCTATACATTGTATCCTCCTTGCATCATTTCTATACATTGTATCCTCCTTGCATCATTTCTATACATTGTATCCTCCTTGCATCATTTCTATACATTGTATCCTCCTCGCATCATTTCTATACATTGGAGGGAATCTATCAGAACTGGAGCAGAATAATCTGGAGCAGTTGCCCATGGTTAACCAATCAGCTTCTCTCTTCAGTTTGTTCAGTCAAGGTTTGAAAATGAAAGCCAGAAGCTGATTAGTTGCCGTGCACAGCTGCTCCAGGTTTTGTCTGCTCCAGCTTTGACAGATTCCCCTCATTGTATCCTCATCACATCATTTATATACATTGCGGGGCGACGGCAAACAAGATGGCTGCTCTTTTTATTCAAGTCATCTGCGATCACTTGAACTAAACAAGCGGCGGCTCCCCCCGATCTACATTTAGTTCTGCTAGCACCGCAGCAAGGCTAAATGTAGAATAAAAACTGCCGGCCCGGCGCCCAGAGCTGCGTGTCCCGGGAGTCGGGCGATAGGAATTCCGCACCCCTGTCATTTATGTACATTGTATTTGCACATGTGCGGGATCTGGCACCTCTTTATTTGAGGGAAGGGGGGGCCAAGAACTGCACACACCGGGTTTTACATGATTGTGTCATCTCTGAGCCGGCATCCCTGTCCAGGGAGTAGACGAGGTGACCCTGGAAGATGCCTAAACAAAGATGGTGCCGTTGTTCTGTAGAGAAAATCAGATTAGGATATTGTTGGGAGTCATGTGATCTCTGTGAGAGGTAATAAATACCTGGAAGTGTTACACTGACGCATTGCTGAACATGACAGAATATATCTGATGACTTGGACATTGTAATCTGTCGCCATGTAGGAATAGAATCCGCCGTTTCCACTTCCCCTTCGCCCAGTTCCTGTAAGTTGAGGGTGTCATCTGTAGTTTATTGTGGGGGGAGGGGGGAATCATTTGCTGTCACAATGGATTTTGTAGTCCTCGGTACAGGTGACACACGGATCCATAAGCAGCAGTATGGGTGGGCTTGCACCACGGGGGGGGATTTGGCAGACCTCGGAGGGATAGTACACTTTGTGTTCTTGGAGAAAGTGTAATTCTATCTTCTCTCCGGAAGAAGCCATAAAAGGGGAATTGTCCCAAACAGGAGAAATGACTTCCTGTTACAGCAGCTGTGTGCGGCCGGGACCATCGCAGAACATTGCGTCAGCCTACGACTGTAAAGTGTGAACTCTGAATCACGGCCTCCCATATATATATATATAACCGGGGAGCCCTCGTGTCATCGCTCCACCACCGGTGAGGACTTTTCTGTCCTTGGCTCCTTCTAAAAGTGATTTACACCTAATTTCCTCTCTGAAGGACAGCCAGCATCATATAGCTCTTTCCTCCCCAGCCTGACTGTCCTTGGC